TTTTTCATCATACCTGTGAAATAAACGTTTAAAAAATCACATTACTTTTCATAATGTAATATACAGAATTATATAACAATGATTTTATTCTTATATGGCAGAATTTACTTTTTGAGGGTGTGGGTGTGGGGTGGCTGGGGTGTGTGGGTGGGTGTGTGGGTGTGGATGTGGATGTGGATGTGGGAGTGGGTATGGGTGTGTGTGCGGGTGTGAGAGTTTAATTGATTCCATTCCATACCCACACCCGCACCCACACCCACACCCGCACCCACACCCGCACCCGCACCCACACCCGCACCCACACCCCACACCCACACTCACACCCACACCCACATATCCACACACACACCCTCAAGCTCGAAGAAAAAGAAAGATCTGCTCGCGATGTCCGAAGACACTGTGCTGGCTGCTACGAGAAAATCAGTCAATAAAAATCAAGAGAAGTCGGTCATGCAGCTGCAAAGAAAGTAAAAACCTTTTGTCCTGATTGTGATAAATTCTTTTGTCTCGATTGTTTTAATCAGGAGCATCGCACTTTTCAATAAACGATGAAATAATATTAAAGGCAGAACGGATGACGTTTAATGCGTGGCCTTTGACTAAGAAAAACAATAGAAAAAAAAAGTGTTTCTCTATTAAGTTTCTTGTAAAAATAATGTGGGACCCGCCGGTGGGTCCCATAGTGTCGAATGTGTTAAAAATCCACGACCGAGAAACAAAAAAATAAAAACGAAGAACAATTTGTTTTTTTTCATCGTTTGATCAGTAATGGTGTTGAAACGAAAATGCCATTAGAAGTGTTTTGTTTCTCTTTCAGGCAAATGCGTTTCATTATTTACTTTGTTTCAGACCGTTGCAAGTTAGAAGGAAAAAAGTTGGTCAAGCAAAGCTATTACACCGAAAAATTGAATTAAAATACCAATGAATCTTTGCATCTTCTTAATTGTAAGTCAGTTGGCAATCAGCGCCGATAATTTGATTCAAAAGACACAATTCGAAGAAAATTTAACGTAAGTGAATTTCGTTATGAAAAAATTCCTATTATTTCTATGTTTAACATTATCGTTTAAACATGTAGTGAAAAGTCGGAAACGACGAAGTTACGTTCGTATTCAACGAATGATACTGATATTTTTGACATGGACTTGCTCTATACTAACATTTCACCGAATGTCGAAATCATTGCACATGAACTATTTCGTAAATATCAACCGTTTTGTTGGCGTCGAACATATGGACGTGGTGTTGGACATCCATTGAATGCTTGTCCTGTTGATCAACCGGACAAAAGTGGTCTTCTTTGTTATCCTAAATGTCAAGATGGATACATAGGCATCGGTCCTGTCTGCTGGGAAGATTGTGGAAATATGACAGCGGTTGGCATCTTTTGTGTAGGTACCAGTAGTTCATTTCATTTATTATCAAAACATGACACATTTCTCAAACGATTGTTTTCAATTGATTCAACCAATGATTCAAATTATGAATATTCATATACACGTATTTTTGTACGTAAAAGCTATGGTCGAGGTGTTGGTACACCCATGATCTGTTCAAGTGAATATGAGCAAAGTGGTGCACTTTGTTATGTACCATGCGATAAAAAATTTATTGGAGTTGGTCCTGTTTGTTGGCAGCTGTGCCCATCATTTCAGTCTTTTACATGTGTTGTTGGTTGTGCAATAACAGCAAGTGATTGTATAACGACCATTTTGGAATTGACTGTTGCAGCTTTGGACATTCTACATTTTATTCTTGGTGATATTTCTGTCGATAATGCCATTGCTAATCTTATTGCTAGTGCGACTCAAAATGATTGGCCAGCAGTAGCTAAGAATACGTTAATTCTATCAGAACAGTTTACTGAAAAAGTATTATCATATTTCTTGAAAAAGTTTAGTGATTGGCCAGTAGATACGATTGAAGAAACAACGAAAAATACCAGCGTTCTTCTAACAGTAGCTGCTCTTCAAAATGCTGAAAGTTTAGCACCATTTACCAAACTCTTTTCCCTCGATTATATTATTGCTGCATTTAATAAAGGTCTATGTGACTTGCCTGACGAACTTCCCCATTCATTGCCAATTGCTATATGATGACTTTTCAAAAGAATGTAAAACATTCCTTGAGAGTATTAGTGTGTATGCTTTTGTTTGCTTTCAGTTTATTGATTCTAATATACTTATAAAGAAAATAATAAACGGAGGGAGTCGATAAGCAATGAAATCGGCCCCTCGAAAATTCTCAATTTTTTCTTACGAAATAGTCACACTACACTCTAAACAAAAAATGTATTTTACCGAACCCCCAAAAAAGGTTCCGGAGATGTCGAAAAGCACCCAAATAGTGCGTGGGTGTGGATGTGGATGTGGGTGTGTGGGTGTGGATATGAGTGTGGGTGTGGGTGAACAACAAACAACCATACCCACACCCACACTCACACCCACACCAATCACCCACACCTACACCCCACACCCCCACACACTCACACCCACACCCACTCACATCTACACCCCACACCCACACCAATCACCCACACCTACACCCCACACCCCCACACACTCACACCCACACCCACACCCACTCACATCTACACCCCACACCCACACCCACTCACATCTACACCCCACACCCACACCCACTCACATCTACTCCCCACACCCACACCCACCCTCTTTAAGAATAAACAAAAAAAGTACAAAGAATCCTTTAAGATAAATGCAATTGGTGTAGGTGCGACGGTGCGTGGGTGTGGATGGGGGTGTGGGTGGGGTGTGGATGTGAGTGTGGGGTGTGGATGCAGATTTTCTTTTCATCCACACTCACACCCACACCTGCACACACACACCCACCCCACACTCAGATCCACAGCCGACCCACATCCACTCCACACTCAGATCCACAGCCGACCCACACCCACTCCACACTCAGATCCACACCCATACCTCGAACAGCAGTTTTCTGTGCCAGAATGTCTTTCGATCTAATCGGTGAGTTACGACTTCATATTCACACTGATTAATACCGTAGAAGTGCAATTATCTGCCGTTTGCAGTCTGAATATGTACAGTCAGCAGATTCGGTTAGATCGATCTGGGTCACATAGGAGGATTGTTAGAGAATATTTAGCGCCATCAGAGTGGAGTGTTAGAATATAAATATCAGAATATTATCTTGATTATTTTAAATTCTTGTTAAATCAAGATTGTCGAGTTATCAATGATAACTTGCATCTAAAAATATGTAAAAGCGATTTCAATCAAAAAAGAAACTATTTTTCTTATTGAGTGTTTATTAAGTTTTATGCTTAATAATGTATTTTAAGCAAACTGAGAAAGCGAGAGTACAACTTTCTGTTCATAAAATGAAAAAAGTTAACTTGTAACTTGGAGAGAACCGATGACAGAAACAGTTTTTATTTTCTGGCTATTTAACCAATTTCCGTTACATGAAAATGTTGTTAAATACCCCAAACCAGAATGTTCTACGCCAGTCACACTAAATGAATATGGCGTCTGCTGTTTTAAAAGCGTTTCAAGTTTACCCCAGCATTGTGAGTCAGGAACAGAAATGCAACCTTGACTAACCGAACCAGGATGTAAAGCAATTTTTGAACGTCCTGAATCAGGATTTTCGCAATAATAATCCCAATATCCACTTCCACTTTTCTTTTTAGGATATAGATTTACCCAATTTCTTTCTTTTCCACTATTCCATTCAACTGCGCCTAGTTTGTATTCTCCAACAGGTGTATCGTCCGTATTAGCGGAACATTCTTGACTACCACATTTAACTTTTTTAGTAGAACGTGAAAATGTACACGATATCTCACCTACAAATAATGAAGGAAGAAAGTATGATATCAGGGCATAAGATATATTATATGCTTACTCCTGATTCCCAGTATCACTATTGAAAATATAACGCAGATTACAGTACATGACAACATTCTTCTGCAGTGATTTATGATTTACAATCATTTATATTGCGTTAAACATATATGGCGTATAAAAAAATAAAATGTCGCTGAATAATAATCTTTGATTTATTATTTACGCATTCATATTATATTCTCAAAATCAATAGAAATTAGTTTTTTAGGCGAATAGGCAGCAATAAGCTGTCGAGGAGTCCAAAATAAATATTACAACTGCTAGCTGGAATTATAAGTATTTGCGTTTCACATTTATATACAACGCAAATAAGACATTCTTATTTCTCTTTTTCTTCCAATTTACATACCACCCAAAAGTAATATTTACGTATTCTTCCTAAAATAGAAACGAAACTAATGTGATTCTGAATTATTTATTCATTCTCTTTTTTCTTTCAAACGAGTCCTGGAGATCGATCGGTCTCATTCATGCACTGAATCCTGCTCATTTTTTGTTATACACATTTGTCATCAACTCATTACTGACATATAAAAATACAGAACACATTTATATTGCGATGAACATATTGAATAGAGGATCAAGCTACAACGTTATCATTAGCTGGATCCGAGACGTCTTAAATATTTTTACACGGACTTAGTGGTTCTATAAACGTGCTCTTCCATGCATTCTTACCATGCCTTGGCAGTATTTTTAAAATAAGAAAACATAGTTTAATATGATCAAAAGTTCCTTAGATTCTTATTATATATTCTGTAGATTTTTAATCCTTCATTGATTCTTTTTTTCAGTACAAAGGGAATATGTCATGAATCATTATTTGTTATTGATTGAGTGTGTATAAACACATCTACTTGATTTATATGCATACTTAAAAATGTAATAACAGATAGAATATCTTAATTCCAGAGTCCGTATTGCTCCAAGAACAGTTGAAAGTGCATTATTTTTGTTATATATGCTGAAAAAAAATTACAAATAGATACTTTTGCAGACCATGTTTGCCCATATTAAGAGAATTTTCTTAGTTGCTCCATTCTTTTAAAAATATAATTTGATCTTCAAAATAAGGTTTTGATACAGTTAAATAATCAAGTAAACGAAAAGCTATAAAAGGTAAATGACATTCTCTATTAAGTTCAATATGAGCACGACCTGTTAGAGCTTCAAATGAAACAATACTTAAATGATAATCTTTTTCAGTCATTGTTCATGGCATCTAAACAATACAACAACAAAAATTATTATATCTGGCACTCTATCATCCGGAGTTTATTGCAAAAAAGAAAAAGAAAACACAAACATAAATAAACAAAATTGTACAGACTGTGTGGGTGTGAGTGTGAATGAAGGCAACGCGAACACCCAAACCCACTCTTTACGAAACATCACGTGTAAAGTGCGTCTCTTGATATTTTTTGCATAATATCTAAGTCATCAAAAAACTTCTGTTCAATACTTACAATCACTACCAGCTACAAAGCCAGCAAGAAAAAGAAATCTGAATAGAATTAGGAATAATTGCATTGATTCTCAAAACGGTACAGTGAAAAATGTTTCATACCGCGATTGAATTAGACCAAAATAAGTTACTTTATTTTGTCGAATAAAACTTCTGTATTTATTCTCGATAATTAACATAAAATCCTTATTGACTTGCAAGTTAAAAATAAAGAAAATATAAGAAAGGCTTTAGTCGGTAGCTGTGTGCAATCTAAGCTCTTAAGTCTTTTTCTTTACTTTAATTACTTAAGGTTTTGGGATAAAGCTGAGTAAAACATTATAGATCTGTCTCTAAATAACAGTAAAACATATCGATTACAATGAAAAAAACCTGATAGCATATACGTGAGATAAGGCAGCATCCCCAAAGAACCTAGGTCAGTCCCCATTCAAAATTACTTCCATAGAAATTACACACTGCTAGTAATGCCAAATATACAATGACGCATTTCACTAATGCTCAACGATTTCGCATCAGAAATTCTTATTCTGCTATTTTACAACCACCTTCTTCACGAACTTAATTTTTGTTGCGTATATAAAACAAAAAGCTTTTAAATACGTCCAAGCTTCATTAATTTTTAAAACAGCTAGCACTCAAAAACTCTACTCCATGAAGGGATGTCGTATGTCGAAGATTTTATGTACAGTTAGGTCACTAAAAACCTCTAAAGTTTTAAGTCAATCTGTGGCATACATTCATAATGCAGTTTGTCGACGAATTTTTGTTCAAATAAATTGTTGTTGATAGAGTTTCGATTTTTCTCCATGAACTTTACAAGAAAGTGGTTTCTATTGCAGTAGAACGGTGCTACTTGCGAGTTCTATCACGTCGTATTCCAGATTTGTGCTGTTGCTTAAGGCCACTCCCCCCACCCCCCCTCAAAAATCGATCTCAGCCCAGGACATTCAAATGATATGAAAATTTCAGGATATGTTGGGGCTGGTGAGACATGGCTATAGTCAACTTTTCAGCCTTATAGCACGATGTTTAACCGAAATATGCACCAATCAAGGGGCAGAAATAGCTCTTTAGTATCTCCAAGTTTTCTTTGTGGGTCTTCATTCTAGACATTTAATTTTTTTTTGTTTAAAAGAGCATGTCATAATGTAGCGACTCTCATGGCCCTTTTTTTAAAGTCTTACTTTTTAGGGGAAAAAACTGGAGCGAAAGTTCAATGACTCAAAAAACCTCTCTAAAAATTGCGCTGCTTTGATAGAGATGTTATCTTCTATGATAATAAAAAAGCTTATTTTAAAAAAAGGGCCACGAGAGTGGCTAGTCCTGCACATAAGCTTTCAAACAAAAAAAAATATTTGGCTTTATCTCTTACTATGATGGAGTCCTGTTGGAGATACGTTGTTGAACCCACATTCTGAGAAAAACGAAAAATGATTTTTGGTTTTTTTGTAAAAGCCGCTTATTTTTCGAATAGGGGGTGACAAAAATCTTCCAGAATTTTCGGAAAAAAAGAGGTGTTGAGTAAAAGCTTTTGTCGTTTATGAAACAGCATTCGACGAGCTATATCCCCATGAGGTTATCTCAATTTCGATCATTTTGACGAAAAGTGACTTTTGTGAGGCGGGGATGGCCTTAAACAGACTATGGGACCCCCATAAAGAAACTGTTATTCAAGCATATAAAAGTAAAATGACTGTATCTTTTCCTCATGATAAACACCCATAATCAGAGGACAAAAATAGATTTCTAAGAAACTGAAATTGAGTTTAAAACTAATCCACCGATTTAAACACATTTCAGAACTGCCAAACAGAAAAAAAATCCAAATTTTATTTTTACAATACTTCGCGTATAAATCCGCCATTTTCATCAAATGTTTTTAAACAATACCTCTTTCACAAAAGCGTCAAAAATTGAGGTATTCAATAGCCAACGACTTTAAAGATTTTTGTTGTTACAAAAAAAAGATTCTTGAAAAGAATGAAGGTACAAGAACCAATCTTTATGAGCTGAAATCACTTTGTAATTTATACTGGTTGTTTTCTTTTCCAATACAAAATAAGCTCACTAACATGTGAAAGGTTGCTGTCACTCAGCCAGAATTAAAGAACTCTCAGAGCTGTAACTTATTGCACAAATACATAGAACAAAATATTCTTTAATTTCTAAAAATCGACGAAAAAAGACAACGCAAAAAATTGCACTTAAACATTTATCATTCACTGTCACTTGCAGATGAAATTTTTAGGTGATGTCCATGAAACCTGTCGATGATCAAGAGTAAACAGAGAAATTTTCACCAAAGCTCAACTCTTGTGTCTCCAATGCCATTTACGAAACCATTTTCAGGCTGTAATTGTGTGTTTACGAAATACTCAGTTACCTCTGGAATGAATGCAGAGTAATTTAACACATTCGACTCAATGGGCCATACCGGTGGGACTCACTACATGGTGGCTCAAAAGTCTCTTTAGCACAGAAAAAATTGAATATCTCTGCCATATTTTGATTAAAAGAGCTGATTTTTTTACCATTGATAAAGGAATATTCATAGCTCATATCTATAAGAGAAACGTTGACAAAAGCTGATTTGAAGTATTACAACTGTCATGAACAAAGAAACGGAATCTTTCAGGAATTATGAAACAACAATATTCATATTGTCTCGAATGTGTTAATTCACCATCATTACATTTTTCTTACAAATCAAATGTAAAATGATCTAATTGTTCTTCACTGATGCTGCAGATCTCTTCGAAGTAGCATTTATAACTGCTCTTTACCGTGTAGCAAAATTATCATGCAAAACAGCAGCTGAAATTTCAGCAAAACTTCGCTTAGAAATAGCCTTTAAAAAGTCGTTTTAATGGCAAGTTCTGTTTCAATGTCTAGCGCTGTGTAGTGTTCCAGTTAAAGGGGATTCTAAAGTATATGAAGGCTCGGACGTCTTCAGGAAAACCAATCTTTTACACATAAGAAAGCATGGATTTTTGGGTGTGGGTGTGAGATATGCGCGTGGGTGTCGGGTGTGGGTGAGTGTCGATGTGGGGTTTGGGTGTGGATGTGGTGGAAGGGAAAACATCAGCAACACCCACACCCACACCTAGCTACACCCACACCCACACACACTCAAACTCACACCCACACCCACCCACATCCACACCCACCCCCACCCCCGCCCACACCCACACACCCACCCACATCCACCCACATCCACTATCACACCCACACCCTTTTATTCAGCATAAGTGTACCAAAATAGTGAAAAAGACAACGAGGATGATTTTGAAAAAATATTTTTTAATAATTCCTGTTTACAAAATGAGTCACATAATGAATACAATGAAGCAAAGCTAAAGAATCAACTGCTCACAAATTTTGGAGGATTGCAATTTCTACACAGGTAGTACGGATTGTTTTGCTGTGAAATTTGTCGATAAACAAGTGAATGACAGTTAGAACATGTTCTTGGGGGAAATTGTAAGGCACTCCATATTTTTTGGTTAATATTGATCATCCACTCAAGCTGAGCGGGACTTAATGTTGTACGTTTTCTGATGTTTTGAAGATAGAAATTTCTATCTGCAT